CTCTCAACTAGTAATCAAAGGAAATTTATGGAGATTAGTCTCCACTCGGGGAAATTCTTTTGCACTCTAAACTTTCAACCGTGTGCATCCATTTCCTATTGTTTCGGGTTTAGCCCTCCGAAATCTCTTCGAAATATGGTAATGCTGTAGAAAGGAAGAAAACAATAACGAATAGATTATGGAGGGCAAAAAAGTGTGGTAAATTCTTGCGTGCTCCATGGGTATTTGATGTTGTGCTTTAGTCGGGGCAATAGGAAATCCCAGCGCAAAAGCTTAGCCAGATCTATGACAGCCCTTCAATAGGTACTCAATTCTATGCCTACATTAGACAACTTAAAAAATTTCCAATGGACACCAATTCTAGGGTCAATTGCAGCACCGAGAATTTTTAAAGAAAATCTATTGACGAATTTTGGCTTAACTGATGTTTTCGTGAAAGCAGCCTTAGAAATTACAAAAAGAGCTGAGCAATGTATTTGACTGCCTCACATGTTTTCATGGTTTTTCGAAATTGCGCAAGTCTACTCGCATTTAGCCGGTTGTAGAGTGCATAGACGTCAATTGCAAAACGAATGAGTGATAATAACTTCTCAGAAGCATCCAAAAAGTAGCAAATTTCTCTGCATTAAGTCCAGTCTTCAATTCGCGCATAATTTACATCTTTTTTGTAGAAATTCAAAGATATCTTGATATTTCTCCTATCGATTTTTCTGAAACTTTACACAATAGAAGAGAAGCACTCAAAGTATGCGTAGTGTAAAGCATTCGATTCAGATCTAAAACCATTGTGACGTCATTGTCACTTGATATTCTGATCGCCTGAAAAATAATATCCTACTTAAGTTTAGTCTATGTATAATTCATATGTCGTAATGGTTTGAAAATAAAGATCAATTTAATTAAGTAGAAGAGATTCAAAGATGGAAGGTGTACCTAGAAAAATACTGGGTCGAGCCACCTTGAAAAATTGCTTCCTTCTTTTCAGCTCACTGAAGCGATGACAACTTTTCAGTTAATGGATGCGGATAAGCTTGAAACACTAAATAAAAGAACAGTTAGATTTATACTTGGAGATTACTCGTCTCCATACACCACTCTTCTTTCAAAAGTTCACTCTACTACGTTGTGTAACAAGCACGTTCAGAATTTCCTCATATTGTTATGTAAGACTTTGTTTTTCACTCATTTTCCTGCTTACCGGTATATACAGAATATGTTTTCACTCCGGTCCTTTTCCTATGATATTCGTGGCAACTTCATTCTTTCACTTAGTAAACATAAAACAACTACCTATGGTCTTAACTCCTTTTCTTACTTTTCAGCTAAACAGTGGAATGCACTGCCTGACTAATTAAAATTTAAATACAGGGTGTTACCTTTATGTAGATTCTTTTTGCTGGTACATACCTATACTTAAAACTGTAAATAATATTTTCTTTTATGTGTGTTTCTTAAATTACTATTATTATTATTATTATTCAAAATGTGATTAATGTATTGTTATGTGTGTCAGCTCAAGATTTTACCTCTCTAGCTTCTCTAAAATTTGACAGAAAATAAAGTTTAGGTTATGTTCACCACTCCATGGTTGCTGAGCTATTGAGGCCACTATAGCAACAGTGTCAAAGGTGGAGATATGTAAAGCTGAAGAGGTGTATGTTGTAAGATTTGTGCCATCGCATATGCTTGCAAAGAAAAGGCCCATATCTTTGGATCCTTTCTTGGAACCACTTACAGATATTCAAACTGGTTCCATCAATAGCATTTAAGTGAACTATAATCTAGCAACTTGTGGGAAACCTGCACAAAAAACAACCATTAAACATTTAATACCATGTACTAATACTATCCCAATTTCACAAGACAGGACCGCTTTCCAGCAGAAAACAGAATGTCCTTGACAACTTGGACTTATTATAATAATTAAGTGATATTACTTGAGAGGAAAGTAGTGTTAGACATCATCTCTCCAAAGAAAGTGGCTACACTGGACTGTCAGCCTGCACAGGTTGTATCCCCTTTTCCGCTGTTTTATATACCATGTGTTTCTTCATTTTCTTAACTGGTATAGCTCCTTATCGGGCCCGGCCAGGGGTTTTGGGTATACGGTATCCTGGGCCATTTGAATTCAGGTATATGGTATTTTTTGGTCAAAATTCGGGTATAAAGTATTCAGTTTTTCCTGAATTTTAGGTATTCGGTATAAGGTACAGAAATCACTGAGAAACGTATAATTCATTTCTCAGTTTTATTATCGCTGTAATGCTCACTAGAAATAGTGCGGATGCTCGAAATTGTGTTCAAGCCCTAATCAAATACTTACAAAAACTGTGGCTCTTTCTGTCAGCCTTCAATCTGACTGGGACAACCACAAGGTTAAGTTTTGATGAGACAGTTACCCGTGTCCAGCATTACTACCGCTTTTCACGAAGAAGCCTCATTGAAAGTTCAGGGTATCAAGGGTTCAACTTCCCAGACCCAAGGACCAGATGAAACAATATCTGCTACTACACTGAACTCCGTGAAGATGATACTGGAAGGCCTCACTAGACTGAGGACAAAGGTGATGGAACTCAATCCAAACTTCATTCAACACTTAGACGTTGAAAGCCTTAATTTTAACTCTCTTTGTTGAAAACTTCTTTTCCAGTATGAGAGGAGGTAACAAGGACACTCCTATGATGCTCGACTTTTGTTTGCCTTTTCCTCGACTGTATTAACAAATTATTAAAACGTGTCACAGGAACAAGCTACAGGTTCTTTACAAATCCAGTGGCCTCGTACTACCTTCAGCCTACTTTAGGTGATGTTGATATGAACTTCTGCAACCTTGCAAAATTACCAAAGCCTTTGTGTGGTTGCTTATCCAAAAAGTACCTGTGATTGGATGAGATCAGTCAGTGGGTACAGCAGTACAGTAAAAGTGTCAGGAACTTTTCAACAAAAGACAAGCAGGCACCTTGCCATTGAACCTCTACCAGTCTGCACCCCCGGAGCAACATTCAGTTGACTTTGACGTGCTTCTCAATGAAGACACCAGCACAGCACGTAACATTGTCATCGCCCAGTCTACGTACGTTGTAGTTTCCCGAATATACAAACTGCGTTCTGCTCCAAACAGCCCACTGTATATTACAAAACTATTAGAGGATGTGGTTGATGACTATGACAGTGCTCGTTATGAAACAACTCTCTGTTACACCCAAGATATTGTTGATCCTCTCCTATACACTACTTCGGAAGAAGAGCATGTCATCCCAAAAGAGAGCATAAAGGGGATTGTAAGCAGCATTACAGTTGTTGACTATGAAACTATTGAAATAGATGAGGGGGAGGATTATCTGCTCCTGGCCATGATGAACTGATCCACTGACACCACTTCTCCCAATGAAGCTGATGAAGAACGTTTTGCAGAGAGTGTTGATGTGCCAGACAAGGTGATGAGCATTCGATCACCATGGACGCTGGCCGACCGCAAAAGAGGTGGTAGAGGACAGTGAACCAGGAGTTTCTCTTTTATTAAGATCTGACTTGTTCATTTTCAGGTATTTAGTATTCTGTTTCAAAATAATTTTAGGTATTTAGTATCACATTTGACGATTTTGAGGTATATTGGTATCTTTAAGGCAAAATAACGGGTATATTGGTATCCCACTACCCCTCTGGCCGGGCCTGCCTTATATTTCCTAAACACCGATTTGAACTATAACTGATGAAACGTCAACCTTGACAAAATTCTAAGAAAAATGTTCCTCCTGCCTAACGTTTAGTGTTTTTGTGCAGATTGCTGTCCCAAATAATTTTCATTCATTTCACAAGTATTAAGAGGGAAATGAACAAGGTCCAGACAGCCCTATGGAACAGGTGTTTGATAACTTACTTTAAGAGTCTAGGCAGTTGTAGGAGAATTGATTGCAGTGAGAGAATGGTTGACATCTAATGAGGGTCGTCACCAGTTTAACTACCGCCTGGCGATCGTTACCCATTTGGGAAAGACGAAAGGGGTGCACATTTTGCAAAGATGTAGGCCTGCACTATTATGGCAGCGCTGAAGGTAATCAGGGGTGGTTTATAACTAGCCTGATAGGAAGTAGCACTCAAGAAATTCTTTTTCGACATGGCTCCGCCATGAGGTCCAACCAGCCCTTACCCTTTTTAAGAGTATCGGTCAGGAAATATTGACCATCGACTGGCAAGAGTTGAAAAATCGATTTCCTTCATTTTTTGTCCATAAATAGCTTTTACTTAGATAAGTAATCTGATGTAAGTTGTTCTCGCAAAAAGCCTTTTATTTTCGAGAAAAGTAAGAATAACAGCTTTCGTGGTCGGAGTCTAAAAATGGCCGTATTTTCAACCCGAAATTTGCTAACATCAACTCTCCTCGTGTTTGCAAATAAAGCCGCAAGGAGAAATTTGGACACTTTCCATCAATAGAACAACTTTTCTTCTTTCACTAGAAGATACTTTTAAAGCAACATCAAGACTCATTGAACTAACATAATTCAGAAACAAAGAACAGGTTTTTACGGTGACAAAAACTTTAATTAGTAGTTGTTTTCTGCGGCATTTTTCTTCATGGGGTATAGCTCCAAATTTTCCCGGTCCTAGTTTATTCACTAATTTAAGCCCCATTTACACTGGCGAAAACTTTTGGCACGGCTCGGATGAAAAAAGTACGTGTACCAAAAAAATTGGTTCAGCACGGATAGATTTTCTCGTGTAAACTACTTTGCCCCATCCGTGCTGGACCAAAATTTCATCCATGCTTGGACCATGTCGAGAGGTAGTCCGAGCACAGATGAAACTGGTACACGATCCTGAAAATCTAGCCCAGCTCGGATAAGGTGTGCAGTGTAAACGATTAGCCGTGCCGAACCAACTTTTCTCTGATGAGCCTTTGCCTTGAGTCGTGGTCAGCACCGATTTAGGAGAGCATGTGCAAATCAACGCGCGATTCACTCAACATGGCACTTAGCGGGAAGATGCTGCAAAAGTAGCGAGGAAAATCTCGCGGGATAGCGTGGAAGGACCAAGATGATAAGGAATTAATTGAACTTATGAAAGAAGAAATAATTATGTTCAGTTTAGAAAATGCCAAGACGCCAAAGGAAAAATGGGCTGTTTACAAAAGTGTTCAAGTGCAACTGCAATACAAAGGAAACGTTCACCTTGTGGAAAATATTGCACACTGAAACTAGTATTCACTTCAACATGTATTGCGAGTTCCTTGAAATAATAAAGTTAGGAAGAAACTAATTTATATTCTGTTAACTTTTTCGGCTAGACTGATTTTGCACGTTTGATTTAGCTGCTGGTTTAACCTTACGGACTGAATGAATAATTTGATATTCGCTTACCTTTTCTTTTGAATAAAAACGTCTTAATACTATTGCATGATAACTGGCGTATTTGTTTTGTTTTTGTATCTGTTGACAAAATTCGCTTTTTTTATATAGGGATACATTTCAAATTAGAAAGTATCATTAACAAGTGGAAAAAGCTGAAACAGCAATATAAGCAACATCATGATAAACAAAAACGAAGTGGGACTGAACGTCGGAAGAAATGGAAATTCTTTGATGACATGGATCAAATATGTGGTCACAGGGATACATCTTCACCCGCATGTCTTATTGATTCAGGTCTACCTGATGAAGGTGCAGGTAAAGTATTTCTTATGTCTATCTAACAGGATAATGACCTCCATTATGCTAAGCTTAGCCGTTTGAGTGACTCCATTTCAAGCTTTTAGATTTTTATGTAAGCTTATGTATACTTTTTAATTTTTTGGCGCAACTGAACATTGCATGGAAGTCTGTACTTTAAAAATTATTATTATTACTATTATTGTTACCGTACATTCTCTTTTAAGCCCCACGGGGGGCTTATTTTTTTCAAGCACTTTTGAGGGGGGGGAGCTTAAAAGAGAGGGGGGAGGCTTAAAAGTAACAAAAACAAAATTCTTAGTCTTCAAAAATGTGCTTTCAGCCTCATGTTCATTGGTAATTTTTATGAGAATGGTTACTTGTATTGATGTGTCGTACACAAGAGAGAACTACAGAACTAGAGCGCAAAGTTGAGAAAGTTAAGCATATGAAGTTAGAGGTCATGCGGCCGAAGACCAAAAACAACATGAACTTCCAGCCTGAATAGACCATAACTGATCAGTCCACATTCATCGTTAATTTTTTTGTGAAGAATGAGGATTGGGGAAGGGGGATGGGGGGCTTAAAAAAGAGGGGGGCTTATGAACCTTCCTCCTCTGAAAGGGGGGGGGGGCTTATTAGAGAGGGGGGCTTAATAGAGGATTTACGGTATTAATAGAAACCATACGTCGAGACTGTCATACTGGCAAAAGTGGCCGCATATTATCTTCCTGTGTCAAAAAAGGTTAGCACATGGAACTGAGGGAGTGCAGAAAATCCATATTGTATTTATCCCGTTTTCAACGTTAGGGTAATATTATTTCTTTCACTCTGTTCAGATTTGGAAAGTGAAACAGGTGATGATAGCAAAATTGGCTCTGATGATGAAGTGGAAAGTGTGCATGATGAAGAGCAAAGCAAAGATACAAATGACGTGTCCGCAGAGGGATGCAGTGAGACTGCTAAATGCAAACTGGAGCTAGAAGAGGAAGAATTAAAGGCCCATGTTCACCCTAAATGCATTGCGCGCCCTGTACTCAAGAAAAAAAAACATTTCGAGTAGTTGAAAATCGCTGCCTTCAGTGTGTAGAGTCAATCATTGTTAATCTTCCACAGTTCGCTAAATCTGGTTAAAAGAAAGTCTAAATAGGTTCTTTTGGTATTTTTCTTTACATCTTTTTGGATATTTTGGTCTGGTATCGAGCCTTTTTGTTTCTGTGAGTGTTTGCTTTACTGCAGTACTTTTGATGGCTGCGCCATCCGCGAAACGTTCAGTTGGAAGACCGCGTTGACGGGGGTCGCTGAAGGCCCTGAAGTACATTCATCTCCATGAATCCGTTTTTTTAATCTCTGGAGAGATGGGAAAGAAGCTCTTGGCTGCAAATTCTACAGACAGCGTGTTTGCCGAGTTTGTTCTATATCGAATGTTGAAGTTCAATTGTAAACAAAGGTCCCGTTGAAATCAGTTGAAAGCAAAACAAGCGAGTCAATCTAACATAAACAATGCCTTATTTAATTTAACCTATGAAGCCTAAAGACACTGTAACACAGCGATTACAGCGACAAGACTGTACGCAGTGCTGATTTGACGCTTTGCAAACACAACTTCTCGCTTATTCTTTCAAGAATACATATCTAAGCTTCCTAAGAATTAACACAAAATAAAAGATTGAGGAATCAAAACATTTCACAGTCGAATCGGGCTTCAGGAAAATCTCACCTGGTGCTTAGACATTTCGTAATTTTATGACCTTCATTGTGTTCATCGGACTCAACAAAGCATCCATACGCATTCACTACCAGTTTAAATTTTGAACTGCTTTCTCCAGTGACATTTAATGAAGTCGGCGATGTATCTTCCTCCAATTGCAAAAGAATTAAAGTCTTACTGGCCTCTTTGATACTGTCTCTGTAAGCTTTGCTCAAGCGTGAAACAAGCTAGTCTCTCTTGAAGTAGTTTTTAGAATTGTCACGCAACGCTGCTCAAAAGTGGAAGCCAATTAAAACACTGCATTTGACAATAGAATCGTTTCAAAACAAAAACAGAAGCGCACAAAGCGCAAATCAAGGAATCAAGGAATTAAGGAATAAAGAAATTATTCCACTGCTAATCGAAGGGAAACCTTGCACACACAGAACTATTCTTTTTCGAACGTGAAATAAATATACTGTAATGACTCTAGGCAAAATATTACAAGATGTTGACTGACACAGCTTCTCATTTAGAAATTTAGATTGACTACAGCAGTGTAAGTTCAAGATCCATTTGTAAACACCCTTTAGAAAAGAAAAGGTTCTTAATAGTCCATTCACCATGTTTACATAGACCATAATGCATCTTGTTGACCCCCCCCCCCCCCCCCCCAATTTTTCCACAACCATTGTTTCTAATTTCTTCTGGGTATTACAGTCGTCCGAAGAGAAATCGAACACAATGGTTAGGCAAAATTTGGGGGGGGAAGTAAACAAGGTGCATTATGGCCTACGTGAAAATGGTGAATGAGGAAACAATAATATTGAATTTATTCACTGCCACTACCAAGTGTCCGGCCCTCAGGTGTCATGAAAAATACTGCAAGAGCATCTCGAATGTTGGGGGCATCTCTTTCCCTCTGATTTACCAATGGGATGTTGTTAGGCTTCTCAACAGCATTATGCACATCCTCAAGTCATTCTTCTAAAAAGTCATCCTTCCTTAATTCACAGATGTTATGAAGTATGCATGAAGCAGCCACCAAGTAGCATGCAGACCTAACAGTCATATCTATACGCTTAAGAACACCTCGGAGACAAGTATAATAAACTGTTGCATTGAACATTGCTGTTATCCTGCTAGCTGGAAGATGGGCATGGTTACTCCTTTGTAAAAAAAAGAGGACGAGTTTTGTAAGATCGACTATACGCCCTTAATTGTGCTCCCTGCTCTAAACAATATTTTTGAAAGGCTTCTATCAGGGCAGATGTATGAATTTTACAATGGACTCTTATCAGACTTCATAAGCGCTTATAGAAAGTTTTATAGTTGCGAGACCTCTTTGCTAAGATTGACGAAAGACTGGAGAATGATGCGTGACAGGGGGCAGCTTGTTGCGGAAGTTTCTATGGATCTCTCCAAAGTGTTTGATATTATTCAGTATCTACTCCTCCTTGAAACTGAGGGCCTATGGTATGGACGACGAAAGTTGTGCCCTAATTAGGAACTATCTCTCTGGCAGAACTCAGAGTTAAAGTTGGAGACACCTTTTCGCCCTGGAAAAGCGTCAAGCATGGGGTCCCGCAGGGGAGTGTGCTAGGTCCTATGCTATTCAACATTTTCATAAACGATCTTTTCTTCCACGTCAAGAAGGCCAAGTTGAACGCTTATGCAGATGATCATAAACACTACTCCCATGTCGATCCGGCAGCTCTGGATGCATCCGTATCTCATGATGTTGGCGTGGCCAATCAGTGGTACCATGAAAATGGGATGTTAGTTAATGAGAGCAAGCACCAGTGTCTAATCCTCGGTGATATGGAGTATGGTTTTTCCTTCCCAGTAAAGGACACGTTAGAGATTTTTGGAATGGAAATAGATAAAAAACTGAATTTTTCTAAACATACATCAAATTTATGAAAAAAGATTAATAACCAATTAAATGTTATGTTGCGCTTTCGAAAACTCATAAGCAGAGAATTCTTATTCAAACTTTACAAAGTGTATATTTTACCTCATTTTTATTATTGCTCCTCTGTCTGGCACTTTTGTGGAGCACGTGATACGGATAAGCTTGAAGCTTTAAATAAAAGAATACTTAGATTTATACTTGGAGATTACTCGTCTCCATATAACACTCTTCTCTCAAAAGTCAGCACTACTTCGTTGTGTAACAAACGCATTCAAAATTTCCTCACTCTGTTATATAAGACGTGTTTTTCACTCATTTTCCTACTTATATGAAGAATATGTTTTCACTCCGGTCCTCTTCCTATGATCTTCGTGGCAACTACATTCCTTCACTAAGTAAACCTAAAACAACTACCTGTGGTCTTAACTCCTTTTCTTACTTTTCAGCTAAGCAGTGGAATGCACTGCCGGACTTTTCTCGTACCAGTTTTTTTGCAGACTTTAAGACCAAAATACAGGATGTTACCTTCATGTAGATTCTTTTTGCCTGACATACTTAAACTTAAAATTGTGAATTGTAAATAATATTTTTTTATGTGCTTATTATTATTAATATTATTTTATTATTATTTCTTATAATGCATTTAATGTATATATATATTTCTATATTATTTTCATGTAGTGTCAGCTCGAAGATATTAGCTTGTTAGCTACTCTAAAATTCGAGTATAAATAAAGTTTTATATATGTATGTATGTGTATGTATGTCGGAAGCGTCCCTTCCATCTACCTAAGGTGTCTTCTGCAGTCATACGTGCTCTGCTGAGCCGGTAATTGAAATTCCGTTGCCAGTTGAGCGTGTTTTGGTTTTCTGGATAAGCTTTTATTAGCCAGTCCAAAACGGGTAAGCTGGGTCCCCAAGAATCAAGGGGCCCATATCAACACCGAGTACTGATTCTTTGATGCTGGGATCAAAAAGTTGCCCATTGCATCCACGATTGTAAAGCTCTGAGTTGGACAGCACTCGGGCATCATGGACACTGCCTGGTCAACCAATGATGACATCTCGAAATAAATACTTTGAATCCACCAGTGCCTGCATCACTATACTGTGATAAGATTTCCTGTTTATGTAATCAGTACGGTTTTCCAGGGGAGCTTGAATGGAAATATGGGTACCATCGATAGCACCTGCACATGCTGGAAATCTCCATTTCTCTTTGTACAATCTCATAACTTCCCTCAAGTCTTCCCCTTTAAATACTTTTAGGAAATCGTTTTTCAACTTTTTTGTCATAGCTTTACAAATATCTCTTATACAAAGACAAACGAAGGACGTGGAGACACCGAATAAGTTAGCTATTGTTCTGTATTCCGCGGTGGAACTCATGTAATAGAGGGTTATTGCTGTCCTCTTCCTCGGAGAGATGGCTTTATGCATTGGAGTGTCCTTTCGAACAATCGTCCTGAATCTGTCTAACAATGTAGTCGAACGTTGACCTTGAAACGCAGAAGTTGTCGTACCACTCTTTTTCTGTAAAAGCTGTCTCCACTAACTCAAACCATTGACCAGTTCGTGTCAGTGTCCAAAACCATCGCTCAATAGAAGTACAAGTGAGAACTGATAAAACAATTAACAACCTGTACCTCCGCTTTTTTCTATTCTTCTGTAAAGCAGTCGAGAGAAAAATTGATTTCCATATTTTCTGCTGGAACACATGCGATCTTCTTATGAGAAGAAATTCTAAGAACTTTTTGTCCGCCATGTTAGCAGCATGCACACTAGGCAAGAATCGAGTACGCTGGCCGAGATGTTGAGCCTTTTACCTGTACCAAAACATATTTTAACATCGTTTAGCATGGTAGAAGAAAGGACGTGTAAATGACTAATCAGTGCTTTTTTTTTGGGTATGCGTACCAGTTTCATCTGAGCCGTGCCTAAAATTTTCTGCAGTGTAAATGGGGCTTTAGAGATTCATCTAAAGCATACCTGAGAATTGGCTTGGGTTCCTTTAGGCAGCCTCCAAACGAAAGCATCAAAGTCTAGTAAAAATAGTGAAGCATGACCAAAATACCTTATTTAACGGCTCCAAGTTTCCTCGATCGTAAAGTAAGAAGACGAAATATCTTCCTGTTTCGTCATCCTTACCGAATAACCATTGTTAAAGTCCATATTTTTCGATAAAAAGTGAGTACCAGAAAAAGCGCATTTGACTTTTTCTTCTTCAAAATACTGTTGGGATCGAAAATGTTTCTCTTTCAAGAATTGCATTGCGTTACTACCGTGATTCCGTGACCGTCATTTTAACGGCTTCATCTCTTCAAACGTACGTTATGTCATGTGCAGTCACGGAACAGATTGTCTTGCAGAGTCACCATCTGGTAAGGTTCAGCGTTTCAAAATGGCTAAAATTGACCCAGTTTCACCTTTTTACCCCACTCTTTGATTGGAAAAAGAAAGTTTGCAATGGGAAAACCTACAAGAAATACAAAAAAACGAGCCTTTAGGCTGTAAATACCTACTTTTGTGCGTTTCGAAATTGGAAGTGATTACACAATTACCTCCGGCCTACCGTGTAAATTCCTGAACTTCGATGGTGTCTTACAGAGATTACATTCAATAACCCAAGCCAATTCCCAGGTATGTTTTAAATGAATGTCTAAATGTGTGATTTAAATAGATTAAGAGTATTTGAAGTTATACCACATCTTAAATATTGCCGTCGAAAATGAGTAACGAACTTAAGTTTTTGTTATCCTGAAAACCTATCCCTCATTTTTTGAATTATTTCAGTACGACAAGCTTCACTATTGCCCTGAAAGCACCTTTTAGTGAAAACGAATTTTTCTGTTCATGGAAAGAGTCCAAATTTCTCCATGTGGCTTCGTTTGCGAACGCGAGGAAAGTTAATGTTAGCGAATTTCAGGTTAAAAATTAGGGCAGTCTGAGACTCCGACATCGAAAACTGATCTTCTAATTTTTTTCTCACAAATAAAAAGCTTTCGGCAGGAACAATCTACTTTAGGTTTCTCATCTACCTAAAAGCTATCTATGAACAAAAAATGAAAGAAATTGATTTTTCAACTCTTGCCATGAAATTATGATTTTGGTCGATTTTTCCAGACCAGCGCTCTTAAACTCCACTGTTTACCGCTTCGTATATTTTATATTGACAAATGGTACCCTTTTCACTACTCTTTCACATAACTAGTTTCTCATGCTGTATCCCCTTTAACTTCTTTAATACAATATCGTTTTTTACTAAGATTGAATAAATCAATGACAGGAAGTTGTTTCACTTTTTGACATTTGCAAAAGGTGTTTCATAGCCCGTTTAGGTCCCTCAGTGGTCTACTTACTCAGATAAGCCCTTACTGTAAAACACTTCTTGATGTACACTTCCTTAAATAAACCAAACCAGCTTCAGAAATGATAGAGTCAGCTTTCTTGAATGCTCTTTTTTCCTGTAAGGTTTGGTTATGTGACAGATGTAGGAGCTAACAACAGCAACTACAGAGGAAGAAATCATTCATTTTTTTCATGAACGTCACGGTTTCTCACGTCATGAGATTCCAAACAGTCGAGATTAATGTTTAAGGGGCTATGTCACCTTCAGAGCATGGGCGGTGAGGTTATGCAAATTACTTTCAACTCTAAAAAGTCTCTTGTTTTTAACACGCGACTTTCCCTGTCACGTCTAAGGCTCGAACATTTACAGAGTTGTTAACAAGTGAATTGGGTTTGGATAAGGGATATTTTGATAGAATTTATGGCATGTTTGTTCTCTGGTAATGTTAAATCAAGTTTTCTCAATTTCTTTGCAGAGAATAAAAGTGTTCAGACAATTTTACTTGTAGTTTTGAAGTATGAGGATGGTGAGAACGCAGCTGCCTCAGGCACAACTTTGAGTTGCAGAGATTCTGTTCGGCAAAAAAGGAGCCTCTTATTCCAACCAAGGAGCACTGCTGGGAGGAGTCGTAGCTCTGGAAGGGGGAAAAGAGGATGAACTAATGTCTGCGAAGGGCGTGGACTGTACAGTTTGTGTGCCCTTCATCTCGCTTTGTGAAGAAAACCCCGATTCCAACTGAGAAAAGCATGCTACCTCAAGCAGGCTTAGGGCGTAAGAAAATTAAGCTCCTTGAAGATGACACAGATGAAGATGTGTTGAATAAACTGACAAGTGATGCCAAAGATGAGTTTGGAAATACATCAGGCTTCCCTCAACCGCGTACAAGTGGCGGGTTTGAAATGTTGCAGTGCTTGGCCAACAGCAAAAACATATCTGTCAGTGGCACTTTTTGGTCCTTTTGCGACCTTCAATCAGCTTTGGGTGGGCAAGCAAAAATTTATCTGAGGCCCATACAGAAAAATCTCAGCACCAGGTCTGAAGAGCCTAAAAGAAGTGAGTCTTTGTTGAAGGAGAAATGTTGCTGTTGTCAGAAACCATTTCTTTTGAGCGAGATGAGGGAACATTCCTTGCAGTGCACAGGAAATTTCGTTGGTTACAGTGACAAAGATGTCACAGACCTCTCAGCTGTCATGAAAGGAGGGCCTGACTCCAGAAACGAGAGCACTCAGTCTTCACTGAAGGTTCCAATATTTCTGTTGCAGCACAGCAGCCTGTTAATGTACATAGAGCATCCAGTCCGCAGTCTTCTTAGAGTACATCCCTGCAGTGTCATGTACAGTCTAACTCCAGCCCGGTCTTCTTCTAAATGTAAACCATAATTAAATTTTTTGGGCTTCCATTTATCCAAAGTTACATTTTACCTTTTTGAAGGTGTCACTAAGATGGTGTGACAATGCCAAACCCTCAAATGATCTTGCTTTTATGCCACATTTGCTAGCAACAGGGATGAGCATCCTCCAAAATGGAAAAATTCCAAGATTTTGGGGGGAGGAAGTTGTTCAGGAAACCTTCTCAAGAGCAGCAGCATCCCCTTGTATTGGATACTTGAGGGAAGGACTATCCAAACTAGGGATATACCAGGTAGAAAACTAACATGCTACGACTAGATGTAATTACTTTATTTAAGGGAAAAGAACTTCAGCTACAGTGAGTTAACATCGCATAAAGCAGCTAAAATGTTTTCACACATNAAATATCAATCAGTGAAAATAAAAGAAATTTATGGTAAGACTGGGTTACTAGCGGCAAAGAGCTGTATATACTTACATTAGTTCTTCTTGCACTGAATTTACGGCCGCCATTTTGAATCAGCAGCCATGAATGGCACTTGTTTCCAAGATCCAATAGGAGGGCCTGACTCCAGAAAACGAGAGCACTCAGTCTTCACTGAAGGTTCCAATATTTCTGTTGCAGCACAGCAGCCTGTTAATGTACATAGAGCATCCAGTCCGCAGTCTTCTTAGAGTACATCCCTGCAGTGTCATGTACAGTCTAACTCCAGCCCGGTCTTCTTCTAAATGTAAACCATAATTAAATTTTTTGGGCTTCCATTTATCCAAAGTTACATTTTACCTTTTTGAAGGTGTCACTAAGATGGTGTGACAATGCCAAACCCTCAAATGATCTTGCTTTTATGCCACATTTGCTAGCAACAGGGATGAGCATCCTCCAAAATGGAAAAATTCCAAGATTTTGGGGGGAGGAAGTTGTTCAGGAAACCTTCTCAAGAGCAGCAGCATCCCCTTGTATTGGATACTTGAGGGAAGGACTATCCAAACTAGGGATATACCAGGTAGAAAACTAACATGCTACGACTAGATGTAATTACTTTATTTAAGGGAAAAGAACTTCAGCTACAGTGAGTTAACATCGCATAAAGCAGCTAAAATGTTTTCACACATCCTTCGTATGAGCAAGAAGGAATTCATGATTCATGGCAGATTATTACAGGATTATTTGAGTCAGGGAAAGGTGATGGTGCTAAGGGCTGTAAAAAGACCTATTATCAGAGATAAAGTGTTCACTGTAACTTCTACCTACAATCACCTTTGTTTGGCTGGTCAGGGAAATTTCAAAAGTCAGGAAAACTGGCTATGATTTACTTAACCTTTTACAGATTAGGTTAATATTGTAGTTTGGGCATTACTTTCTCAGAGGCAGAGTGTTGTGCTATAATTTTCATTGAAGCACAAGACGAATTTGACTGACCTAACACTATTAATGATTTTCCTTTTTTATTAGCCTGGAAGCCGTACACGCATATTCATTCACTTGCTGCGGCAAAACCCAGCTAGAATAATATCACCTTAAGGAAACTAACAATGTTGCTGACACCATCATTTTCTCCAGAGGCATCAAAAAGGAAAATATTGGAAACTGAAGCCTATTAATTGTTTGTCAAATATCTGAGGGAAGCGGCAAGTAAGTTTTAAAACAACAGATATACCACATGCAGTCGGTTTAGATTTACATTTATTGGCACCCTACACAATATTACCAAGAATGATCTTTGAACAATGGCAGTTCATACTCAGCTTCTTTCATCCCTAATGCTCTCGATTATGAGATTTGAGATTTTTTGATCTTTTCAGTAACTCATACAATGTACATGTAAATATAACTTCCCATAGCCATCCAAAACCCTGTTTCTGTAAATGACCAGATACATGCTTACCTTCTGAATGCAACTACCATTCTCCCTGATGCTGGTGTTCTCCATTGATGAAACAGTGTATTAAAACAGTTTTCACAAATTTGTCTGATCTGTGCTCTTTAGCGTTGTTCATTAATACCCACCAACAACACTGTGTATGCTCATTGCAGGTCAGAGAAGAGAAAGGTAAAGATGATTACGCCAGTGTTAGGCTTCGAGATGTACTCTTCAATGGAGTTTTGTGAGAACTCACCATTTTATCCTACATCCAACGTTTATGTAAGTAGTTTAGGGCTTGTTCATGGATCTCTGACAACACCTTTCCCCAGTGAAGCACATACCTGCCAACTCTCCCGGTTTTCCCAGGAGTCTCCAAATCTCCCGGGAAATACCTAGTGTGGCCTTTTTCAACATTTTTCATTAATTTCAGTTTTTTCGAGATGTCAAAAAGGAAAATAACACAAGAAATGGATTTTATGCTATTATTTGAGCTGTTCTCGATCGGAAAGCGTCAAAGAGAGCAATCAAATTGATATATATTTAACGAGTATCGTAGTGGTCAGAAAACAAGCAATTAAATTTCACAAAACATGGCAGAAAGATGGCGCAGTTTTCGCATGCTGTTATTGACGTTGGAAAATTTTGGAAGGCCTTCAAGTGATTTATTATACACTTAACGTCAGATCCCGAGATGTTGAGCCTTTTACCTGTACCAAACATAATTTAACATCGTTTGGCACGGTAGAAGAAAGGACGTGTAAATAACTAATCAGTGCTTTTTTTTGGGGTATGCGTACCATTTTCATCTGAGCCGTGCCTAAAATTTTCTGCAATGTAAATGGGGCTTTAGAGATTCATCTAAAGCATACCTGAGAATTGACTTGGGTTCCTTTAGGCAGCCTCCAAACGAAAGCATCAAAGTCTAGTAAAAATAGTGAAGCATGACCAAAATACCTTATTTAACGGCTCCAAGTTTCCTCGATCGTAAAGTAAGAAGACGAAATATCTTCCTGTTTCGTCATCCTTACCGAATAACCATTGTTAAAGTCCATATTTTTCGATAAAAAGTGAGTACCAGAAAAAGCGCATTTGACTTTTTCTTCTTCAAAATACTGTTGGGATCGAAAATGTTTCTCTTTCAAGAATTGCATTGCGTTACTACCGTGATTCCGTGACCGTCATTTTAACGGCTTCATCTCTTCAAACGTACGTTATGTCATGTGCAGTCACGGAACAGATTGTCTTGCAGAGTCACCATCTGGTAAGGTTCAGCGTTTCAAAATGGCTAAAATTGACCCAGTTTCACCTTTTTACCCCACTCTTTGATTGGAAAAAGAAAGTTTGCAATGGGAAAACCTACAAGAAATACAAAAAAACGAGCCTTTAGGCTGTAAATACCTACTTTTGTGCGTTTCGAAATTGGAAGTGATTACACAATTACCTCCGGCCTACCGTGTAAATTCCTGAACTTCGATGGTGTCTTACAGAGATTACATTCAATAACCCAAGCCAATTCCCAGGTATGTTTTAAATGAATGTCTAAATGTGTGATTTAAATAGATTAAGAGTATTTGAAGTTATACCACATCTTAAATATTGCCGTCGAAAATGAGTAACGAACTTAAGTTTTTGTTATCCTGAAAACCTATCCCTCATTTTTTGAATTATTTCAGTACGACAAGCTTCACTATTGCCCTGAAAGCACCTTTTAGTGAAAACGAATTTTTCTGTTCATGGAAAGAGTCCAAATTTCTCCATGTGGCTTCGTTTGCGAACGCGAGGAAAGTTAATGTTAGCGAATTTCAGGTTAAAAATTAGGGCAGTCTGAGACTCCGACATCGAAAACTGATCTTCTAATTTTTTTCTCACAAATAATACATTTATATAGCATCTTTTCCCAGTGGTCTAAAAACGCTTCACATATGGGAAATTATGATGAAAAACTACAATTACCTAACTAAAAATATTATACACGTAATGTCAGATCCCGAGGGAAACAGTGTTGTTTTCCCTCGAGTCCCAAGGGACCTGACATTAAGTTTTTTTATATTTCGAGACTTTCACTTCAACATACTTCAACAGCAACAAAGAATACGCTTAAGTGGAGCGAATCAAAACAGTCGACTTGGTACTAATAAGGACACAAATCTAATTCTCAAAACGACTGCATGAATGAATGATTTACAAAGTACTTTCCTTATTATCTGCACCTTTTTCCTCCACTAGCTGCTGTTTCTCTTCTGGGATAACTTTGAAAATCGTTGCTTTTTAGCTTGAGGCTTCCTGTTTGTGTTGTTGTATTCATTCACGAAAAGAAAACTGGCAGTGTTTTTGTTGCCTCTGGTCACGCCATTTTCCACCATGCTTTGACTACGTGCTGTAATGTATCATGATCGGAATACATTTGAATTTATTCAAGGTCATGTGACCAAGAATCAGACAATGGCTGTCCCTGTTTAGTTCAGTGGAAGTCTAGGAATGTAAAAACATATATAAGTACAATAAGAATGAAAATTCAGTGTTCCATGTAAGCCCGTAAAAATAACCGTTCTTTAAGTTTCCGTTTAAAAGTTTCAACTGATTGCAATTCTCTTAATGACTGTGGAAGGGAGTTCCACAACACTGCTGAAGCCAAGGCAAATGACCGACCAGCACAGGACATAAGATTGCACACGGGTATCTTCAAAAGGTTTTTGGATGAGCAAAGTGATCTTGAAGGTGTATAGTATGTTAGATCTTTAAATAAGTTGGAGCTTGCTTGTTGAGTGTTTTAAATGTGATTAGCAGAATCTCAAATTCTATCAGCTGTTGGATGGGTAGCCAAAAGAGATCTTCGAGGAGAGGCGTTGTGTGATCATTTTCATTAGATTTAACCCTTTAACCAGCAATCATACATGTATGTATGAAAAATAACATCGTACGCTTAGGGCTCTCATGTTCTGGAGGTCCAGGATGTAAAATTTACCCATAGTACATTTCAGTCTTCAATCTGAATGGATTTCTGTTTGGAATGAGTGAATTATTTCACTGCCTTGAACAAAATTTCCTAGTGGTTTCAGTTCTTGCCAATTGAAAATGGCCACCCAATACATACCTCTTGAAGAAGTCATAAGGCAAGTCCAAATTGATCTGAACGTGCCATATTTTGATGAAAGTGAAGCAGAAATATCAGAAATAGAGAGTGAATATGATGGTGGATCAGAATAGGAGGAAAGTGACAATGATGGGAGAAGCGAATCCCTTTCAGTAGATGATTCACTGTTATGCTGATGATTCACAAGTTTACATCTCATTTAGTCCGAACAACAGAGCTGAACAACTTGCTGTGGTGAGGAATATGGAAGACTGCATCAGAGACATTCATTCTTGGATGTTGAATAATGATCTTAAATTTAATGACGACAAGACTGAATTTCTCATCATTAGCTCATCACAACAGCTGAAAAAGGTATATAATATCAGTATACGTGTGGGTGACTGAGATATTCATCCCGTGCCACTCGCGAGAAATCTTGGTTGTTGGTTTGATTCTAGGCTGTCCATAGCATCCAACATCACAAAACTCTGTGCCTCTTCATTTTACTATACTTATAATATTCGCCGGATCAGAAAGTATCTTTCACAGCAGTCAACTGAGATACTTGTCCATGCATTCTTAAACCTGCGATGATCCCCCTTCACCATTTCGCAAAGGAAGGTTTCAAAATAACCTATTGCTACTTTTTTAATTCTTTCTTAATTTCCCTGATCTTCCCTTGTTTGGTTCCCTTATCTCAGCAACAGGATAACAAAAAGTAGACGAGGAGTTGATTGATGTTACTATGGAGACAAATGTTTGAAATGATTCAGGTATGTCTTTTTATCTTATGCCATACAGAATACATCCAATCAGAGAGCTGGAAATCTCTTGCATGTTAAATTCTACAGTATGCAACGTAAAACTTTAAGAAAAAATCTGCCACAATGCTTGTGGCCTCCACACGTTCCCACTGTCAAATAGGCAAAATTTCTCATTCTACAAAAATTGCCAGACTCAATTTTGAAACACCACCAAAAAATTGACTTTCAGTCACCTCACGTAAAAATGTAACGAAATATAGGTTAAACAGATTGTAACGGTCAAAGAAGCAACATTAACCTGTGATGTTTTAAGGTTTCCTCATTTACGTTATTACAGACGTAATAGTGGGACATCTTCGTTTGCAATACACTCTCGCCTAAAGGCGAGGGCGTATATCAAGTATCAGTCCTAGGATATTTAACGCTACAGTATTCGAAAGTTTTGAGCAACTTGTAAGTCGTCTCAATACCTTGTAACTTGTACAGTTTTATAATACAAGGAATTCTAATCATAAGTCTATCACAGCAACATTTCCGTGGTTTTAACCACCTAGAGCGAGCTTTACATTTACAGTCAACAAATAACCACCTGGCTTTTTCGGCTAATGATAACCCTTTATTCTTTAGTACATTTGGAAGCATTACTGAAGAGAAACAGCAGCTGCAGGAAACTCGAGCAGCATTTAGGGAAGACCATGAAACAGAGATTAAAAGGATTGAGTTCACCAACATCAATTAAAGACAAGGGTCTCTATCGAGCAAGAGAAAAGGAAGAAGTTGCTAGAATTAGTACAAGCAAAGGAAAGAGAGATTGCCTGGCTAGGGAGGCCAATGCTAATAATTAAACATACCTCTTTACAGTCATAGCCTGTTCAAAGGGCCTCTATTTTCCCTTAAGAAATTGCAGAGTGCATGTATAAGAACAAAACTGCGGCAGATTTATTGACTACTAGGGCAAGGGGTGGGGGTGTGGCAAAGGAAAAATAGTTTTTTCTTTCTTGCACTCATCCTCTACAGGCGATTGCATACATTGCCAAATCTTGCTATAACTCAGAGCACATCATGAAGAGGGCGGGTTCGATCGGATTAGGTGGACTGACAGTGTTTTGGTTCCTTTACGTTTAACTTCTTAGAGGGTGTGCTTCACATAAATTTGTTGTGGTTTCAGTCGCTGAGGAACTGAAATCTACTTTGCCATCATGCAGTGTAAGTAAGTCCATTATTTGAAATGACCAACAAAATGTTTGTCGTACTTTTCAACCGTCTTCACTCGATTATGTGCAGTTTTTGGTGTTAACATAAAAGTGTCAAAGATTTCCATTTGGTTTTCGCTCTATTGACAGTTGTACTTTTCGACCCTCTACGCTCGATTTCGCATGTTTCTCTGTTTTGTATTGGTTAAGACATCAGCGCTATGGTTACCAGGTGCTTTTCTGATGCTGCTGTGGAGGAAGATTTCTTACAAGTGATCACTATTTATAATGATTTTGTGCTATTTTTTCCTGGCATCAAGACTTAAATCTCGACCAGTGTGTCAGTTGCTTTCTCCTAAGAGTTTTTCTAGGTTTTTTGGTGCTTTCTGCGATATTTCAAACAAATAGCCATTCCTGAATCAAAGTATTTGTTTGGCTATCGTGATGGTTGAGCAACACGTGCATCACCGAAGCACCTTCTTGGCCTTCACATCCGGCATGTTTTAATGGCACTCGTCTTTCAAGACTGAAGTAATTCCCTTTGGAAAAACAAATAATGTCCTTAAGGATACAATTAACTCCCTTGTGGGAACAGACCTTGTGTTTCAATACACAAGTAATTCCCTCTTGGGAAGCAATGAAGTTGTTAAACAAACGTCTTTGGTTCAGGGAGAGAATTACCAGTATACAAAACTGTTTTTGGTTCACAAGCGGCCAAAATTGAGGTTAAGATTGCTGATTTCAATTTACACGATAAGCTTAATACATCTTTTACTGGTGAAGTAGATGTTGCTGGTAAGTACAGGAAACCTGAATTTCCTCCACAACACAACCATTCTCGACAGCGTTCGCGAATAATGATTCACAGACCCAGAAATACAGAATCATCAACAATATCAATGACACAACTCATGTGTTCATTGAAATGTAGAAAACTAAGAAAAAATACAGAAAATGACTCACCAAGTCATTTCACATCTCATCAGTTTTGCATAGCATTGGTTCAAATTATAAACAATGCGATGTCAGGTATATTTAAAGACAAGACTGTTTTTCGTGCAGTATTTTTCTGCAAAGGTTAAGAAATTAAGAGTGGCTTTATATAATGAGTCAGGAAAAACTCGTTTATTGTCTGGAGATGTTGAATCCAACCCAGGTCCCATAACTAATGCTACCTATGTATTTCATCTGTAGCGATAGGCAGAGGTGTGTCAGATTTCTTGTCCAACTATAGAGCGTTTTCACATGACGTCATGGCAGCCATATTGGTGTTCCAAAGCAATCCAGTGGGAGTTGAACTCTTTTCTTGTGTAAACGCTTTCTTTCATTCCAATAAATTTACATAGATGCTAGACACGTGAGTGGGGGAGATCATTTCTTTAAATAGGTATCTCGTCAGTTATATGGTGATTCATTTCACCACCTAGAAATTAGAGCTGCAGGTATACAGTACATAAGAGATAACCCAGAACAATTCAATGAAAGCATAGCAGATTCATCATTGCTGCACTATATATCCAATTTGATTCAACAAGGAACATGGACAGATCATATTATCATACAAGCAGTAGCAGATTCTATGAATCAATGAAAATATTTCAGATATTACCTTGGTTGAAGCAACAAGTTTGACTCACAATCCTACATATGTGACCTGGAAAGTGAAAATGGACACCAATGCTTTACCGTTTAACGGAAATATCCCTTTGTATCCATTTAAAACCATTTAACATCCGTTTAAACGGATCGTAACAGCGTTTAACACTTTTCCTATCCGTTTACTTCAATCTTGCTTTCGTTTAATGATTTTGGTAAAACATTCACACGCTTTTCGTATCCATTTAAAAAAATAGCATCTGTTTAACGTTTTGGACAGTACGCTTGTTATCCATTTAAGAATCTAGTAACTGCTTAAGCGGTTGGTATGATATTAAATTTATGCATGACCAAGCTCCAGTCACAGTTCGAGTAAGATCAAACGAGGCTGTATTGTAGCTTTAAACACGACGCAGGATGAAATTTCCCTGACAAGCTGGCGTAGCATGCGCATTTTCTTTTGTTATTTCCTAGCTCAGGGCACAACAAAAGTTTCAAGACTCTTAAAAATGGTTTTCATGGAAGGATAATGATCCCGCGAACTTATTAAGATTGAATCAGTTTTTTTAATAGTGTTTATTTCCATGAGACGTCTAGTCTGCGGCATCACACGCAGCAAGTTCGTAAAAAGTCATAAACTCCAGTTCTACAAGGCGTCTAAGATAATTTAACCTGAAAAAAAGAGTAGTATTTGTTAAGGCAGAATTACGAAAAATATGTCACGATGTGTCGTTAAAAGTTACACATGTACTGGGACCGTGCTGTAAAACCCCCGGGGAAAATTTCATAGAGCAGTGGCACTGCCTCATTTACATGTCGCCGACGGCAAGTTCTAGTCAACGTGCATTAAAAAGACTAAGCCATCATTTGACACATGCTGCCCAGTGCAAGTTAAATAACCTGATTGTCGAACACTGTTGACAAGCGCATAAGTGAAAACAATCAAAATCTGTTCATCCAATCAAAACTTGGGCATTTCGATCCACCTCCTGTCAAGAGCTGTGTATAAATAGGCATAAATCTGGCTTCGTCACTTTTATTAACGCAATTCTGTCTTGTTGTACGTATTCCTCTAAAACATCATGTCCGCAAGGCAACTTTGCAAAGAAAGTAATAAGGCTCCAAAAAAGGCGTATGTTTTCCCACAAGAAATGAAGACTGGAATCGCCCCAACTCAGCTGATTTTAGAGAAGGATTCCCCTTTCATAGTGGGAAACACTGTTACAGTCAATTGGGAGGGAAAGAAGGTAAAAGCTGAAATTCTAGCCTTGGATGGCGAGTATTCGATAATTTTACCATAGTGCACATATAATTCACGATCAACTCTTGTTCACGAAGCATCTCTATAAGAATCCTTTCAAATCAATTTAAAAGTAAAAGACAAGTTGGTGAATTTGAGCGTCTCATTTTTTCCACAAAAAATTACATGTAACATTTTGCCTCATAAATAAGAAGTAGCCTGAGGTGCTTTTATTCAGTTTCCTTACAAACGCAACTTTGCGAAACATCATATGTGTAAATAGTGTACTTGCTGTATGCGATTTTTATATTTCTTTCTACGTATATACCAATCTTATTTAGAGAACATACTTTAGCCCATTAACATTGTTATATTTAAATGTAACGTAAGATATGTAATTTTATCTTTTGAACCTTATTTTTTCTATTTATTTTTTCCAAGGTACGTATATTTTCGTATAATAGCGGTTTATGAAACCAAAGAGGTTCATTTCATCTTTGGGATTTCACAAAATATAAACCTGGGCCCAGTTGTTCGAAGGCCGATTAGTGCTTAACCAGGGGTTAAATTCAACTCGCATTTCTTCTTCTTGGGTTCAAAAGCATTTTCTCGGATAATTTTCCCTGTTATTTTTAGAGCTTTCAATCACCAACTTCTAGACAAAAAGAATTTTAAACTGAAATGCTCTTTAAGCTTTCAAATCTGAATTCAAATCTCGCACTAACCTTAGGTTATCTTAACCAGCTTTGAACAACTCGGCCCTGTTGTTTATCTATGTTAAATCTCTTTAAGAGATGCCAATTGGTAGCAAACGAGGAAAATGTCTGACGATATCCAAAACATTTGATTTTGACTGAATTGAACTCTTACCGACAGATGCACACACAATTAATCAACCTTGTGCTATGTTTGCTGTGGCGTCATCATAATTTCAAATCTGACTTTCTAATTCGTTTCTAACTAACCTTTTTTGCCAAACGTTTTTGAAACTACCTTAATATTCTTATTATAGAGACCCAAACAATATTTGCCTAGCCCAGGTGCAGCAAGTGATCCTTTTGCAGAGTTTCTCTCAGAACAACGCAAAAGGAAAGCAGGGTTGTCATTAAATCAAGTGGCTAAGAAACCAAAAGGTGCTGACCAAAGGACTGTGCCACAACCCGACGAAGTGGCAGAAGACGTAGCCTATCTGAAGAAACAGTTGGACAAAAAGAATGCTGAATGTGCTACCCTGAGAAGCCAGGTATCGGAACTCCAGCGTAGCCGTGTTACTGTTGTTGAAGCACTTAGTAGAAATCAAGACCACTTCAGCCAGGTGAGCAGAATTATGAGTTTCAATTTGCAGCGCCCATTATCACGTGACTTGGTCACGTAAGTTTGTCTTCGTTGAGAAAACTAACTTAATAGTTGCAGTTTAAGACTAAACAGCTGGAAAATGAGGAAAATATCCTATTCAAAACATACCCAGTTTCAAGATTCAACTGTTACTTTCATGCGCAGTCTTTCATAAATTGCCTCTATTTTATTTGTGAACTTAAATTTTACGTACGTAAAAATTACACGACAGTGAAAAACAACCCTAAAGGTATATCAGCATCTTCTAGTGCAACAGCCGCTTGAAAAGTATTCCTTAGATTGTTTTGATAATTTTCGAAGATGATGGAGAAATTAGAGGACACTGTCTGCAGTGGAGCATAACTTGTCATTACACTTGCAAAGGATAGAGGATCGCCTGGATTTGTTAGACAAAAAGGTAACATAATGTCTTTTCTCAGATATATATCAAAGCAAACAAGATCGTAAGAAAGCATTAAGCTTCATGGTGTTGAATGCATTGTTTTCACAATACAGCTTGCAACTATCAGCTTTTTAAACAAGTTGATAATTGCAAGCTGCGCTTTTTTAGCACTATATTGTATTTCCTAGAATAATAACCTGGGGTGAGTTTTCCATATCCTTAGCGTCAAAGCTTAAATCGTCACTGATCAATTTTGCTCGATCAGACTCTATTTCAACTTGAAAAAAAACAAAACAAGAGATTTAGGTCCTCTTAAAATAGTGTTCGAGTTAGGCATTCAACTGGCTGTATTGAAAATAACCGTGAAAATTTGATGTTGATCCGTCGGTGAAGGTTCGGCCATAGAGGATGTCCAAGGCTGATAAAGTGTTACCTTGATTGACAAGTGTCGTTTTTAATTTCCAGTTCCACAAGAACGATGATCTTTGCACCATTGATTCCACAGCATTGGCGAGTCTAACAGAAGATATGGGAGACTTCATTCCACTGCCGCCGTCGCCTTTTTTGGCGTAATCGATTCCTGAAACAGTGCAATTCAAGATGCCTGAAGCAGTCCCTAGTACTCAACTGGATACACTTGTAACAGTGCCATCATTGACGCCTACTCCACTGCCTCAGTTGACTCTGCAGTCTACGACACCTGAAACAGTGCCTCCCTTGACACCAGCTGCTGTCAAGCCGATTCAGCAAGATCCCAACGTTCAGGAACAACTGTCTTCAGAAGCTCCAATCGACGATGAATTTGTTCGCTCTCGTGTCACCCCTCGGAAATTCTTTGCCGTGAAAGATGTGCTTTACAAAGAAAATGAGTGGCACAAATGTGCTTTTACCATATTTCTTCTCTTGTATGGAACTAAGCAACAGTAACACCCTTTAGATAGTAAGAGATTTAACTTGTTAAAAGTGCTAGTCTTCAGTCGCTTCCCTTTGGAATCTGCTGTGGAAAAGAAGAAGACTTGGAAGCTCATCAAGGGAAAGATCAATGCTAAATGCCGTCTCAACAAACACATAAAAAAACAAGCTGGTGAAAATAGGGAAAGCTAAGAAACAATTTATTTTGATTGTATTAGGTTAAAGCAAGAACCATGATGAGGTTTAAAGTACAGCCGTTGAATTAAAAGTGTAGCTTTTCCTTTCTTACTTGGTGTAATAAAACTGCTTAAACAATTCATTTTTTAACTTCTTTCAGTGTACTGGGTGGGGCATAACAGCAAAAATAGTATTCCAACTTTAATTTTTGGGATTCTGGTGCTAGAGTACGTCAGCCGTGATAGCTGTTCCTAATCTGTATTTTAAACCATTTTGGTTTAGTGTGGTCAAAGTAAAAGTTTAATGATTCATTTAAGGCCAAGAAAAGGCCAAATTGGAGTTCAGCCAAAACTTTGATTCAATTCAAACTTGACACCACTACGATTCGACAAGGTTTAGACTTTCTGTAGTCCTTTTGGACAATATCGCGGTCCTTCTAAAAGTTCAGGTTTACCTCGGTGTAAAAACCTGTGAAGTTTTTCTTTGTTTTCGTTGTGAGAAATTCTATTCCATTAAAAGGTAAAAATTCTCACAAAATAATACAACAAACAATATTCGCTGCAATGTAAAAGTTTTCTCAGAAACTGAACCAGAAAAAAAGAGTGTATCTGGCTTAAATATCATTTTGGAACGCCAGTATTCTCTCTTGCATCAAGGAAATCATCAGAGACTGAACAGACGTGACTTCTCGTCCAAGAAGTTGCTTCTTTTCAATACAATGTATCATGCAAATTCAAATTCCATATCATTATTGATTCGAAGAAATAACACAACAGTTTTGAATTTAAAAGACATGTTTCGGTAAACTTATGCCATCTTCAGTTTTAGAAGCTTGTTACAACTGAAGATGGCATAAGTTTGCCAAAACATGGCTTATAAATTGAAAACTGTTCTGTTATTCTTCCAAATTGTAACAAACTTTCTGCTCTTGCGTCCATTTGGTAAAATCATTGATATTTAAATTTTGATGCAAAAGATTCCAGCATTCATGCAATGTATTCAATCAAAGACAAGTGTTTCGTTTCGTTCCCTAGCCCTGTAAACGATTGCAAGTGTTCAACAATCATTGCTGAAACGTTTAACGTTCTTAACTTTCCATTTAAAATTTCAGCACCTGTTTAACATTTCAGCCAATCCGTTTACTTACTTCTCCCAACTGCTTAACGCTTTTGCTTATCAGTTTAAACGAACGTGGAATCCCTTTCATCGCTTGTGGTAAATGTTTGCATCCATTTAGCATCCATTTACAATCTGTTTTTTTGCCCATTAAACGGAAGAGGGTTAGTGTTCGTTTTCACTTTCTAGGTCAAATGTATTTATATATAGCACATTGGTGAGCTGCATTATGTCTACCTAATCAGCTTTAACTGAATGTAGTACAAATCAAGAGGACAGTGCAAAGTCATGCCTTAATCTCAGTTATGGTAAAACAAAAAAATTATTATTACAAGAGGGAATTCAATCATATTATGATAGAGAACCAAAATCGATGAATATCCGAAAATATTGTAACTGTTGAAGAACTTATCAGTCATCACTTTTCTACAGAATGAAGAGGCTGTGACTACAAAAACCAAAAAGCACAAAACAAAAGAAATACTAATTATATGCGCAGTACAAAGCGACTAAAACAACTCCTGTACAAAAAGAAGCCCAAAATGCATACAAAAAACAGTATAGAGCATCCAAGAGAACAATAGTTAGTAGAAAGGACTGGTTGGGAAAACCCGCAAACTTCAAAGGAGTAGGTTTATTGTTTAACTTTTACCAGGTCACGTGACCATGACAGTGCACAGTGTGCCAGTTTCAAGATGGTATCGAATCAAGTCATAATATATAGATTTAGCCAGGGCTAAAAGCGAAGCTCCCGTTAATAAATTCATAATTTAAATCAAACAATAAACTTGTAATCCAAAGATCAGGGCACATTCATTTGACTTTTGAGGCAAAGGCTAAGTGATTTTAGAGAAAAATAATTTGACCGATCAAGAGTGAAACAAATTTTACATCAAGTTATTAAATAGTCTTACTTGTACACCCAAAAATAGCAATCATGTTCGATCACAGTAGATTAGGCCTGGAAAACAAATAGACCTATTCGTGTATCGTATTTGCATTAGCTGTTGCATCATAATGTGGCATTCACCAGTCTCTCCAACATTGCTCCGTTAGAGAGACTATGGATAATTGGACAACCCCGAAATATAATTTTAAACACACGCGCCACAATAGTCCTTGGTGGCAGCCAATTTACACGTTGGATTCCTCTGTCTAAAAGAGAGGCCAAAATAAAAAATCAGCCTTCGACAAGTTTAGGTAAATCTTGGCGACGAATCTGGCGGCGTGTAAACCAGCCTTTTAAACATACTTTTTCTCATCACGTCTCAGGTAAACTACTATGAGGCCCTTTTTTATCATACAGACCTCGGACAGAATTTGTTCTTTTTTGCCCTATTTAAACCTATAATTCTGCAGGTTTTCACAATTTTGCAAGAGAATTTGCACTCATTCAATATCCACGACAATCAAAGCACGCGCTTCCTTTGCACAACAAATTATAGCATTGAATTATAAAACATTGTCATGAAGAGAATTCTTAGATAATGCCGGGACTTTTCAGTTAGAAAAATCTGGTCCTATGTGATATGCAGGATAATAATTACGGGCTTTTAATGAAAACGATAAAAAAAAATTCCCCAAAATCACCTTTTCGGCCAGCCGGACGGGTTCTCACTTTTGACAGGCACCAAATTTGCAGTGTGACTAATAGAGTTACCATTTACGCTTCAACATGATAGAGAAATTGTTTTGTTTAGGTTTTATTTCCCTTTATTTATTAAACTGAGTATGGTTTTGTTATGTGTAATCTTTAAAAGCGAGTGACATTTACACGCGGCATTTTGAGTATTCCTGCATGCGATTTTTATGCCCGACTGGAAACAACCGGTGCAGCGATAAAAATTGCGAGAGGGACTACTAACAATCAATAAAATAAATATAATTCGGCGAAACATGTACAGAGAAAATAATTTTCATTCACGAAGAGAAGTATCGAGAGTAAAGTGTCTCTGAAAATCATGAGTCAGGTAAGCATAAGCTTATTTATGTTTTAAGCCGGCTCCCAGTGTTTCCTCTTTTTCAAGATGAACTCGAGGCAAGAAAATCGCTCAGAGCTTTCTGTTTATAGCCAAAATGTCAACTAAATAATCTTCGGAACCTTTTCTTTGAATTTGCGGTCAAAAAATGTCTAAAGGCTTTTTAAACCTGATACTACTGTAGGTTAGATCATTGCTCGTGTATAAACTTAAGCCGCATAAACCATACGCTCGACTTCAGGAAACCGAAAAAAAAAACACATCAAAGACAATAATTGCTCAGGCTTACCAGTCGAGATGCTGCTTTTGAAGGTCATCAAGTGTTCCAGAATCGCTTGAGACTTTTCAACCCTCTTACGCCTCAAGCAAGGGCAAGTGAGTAAGCTCATTTTTGAAAATGATGCCATCCGAAATCGGATTTCCAATGATTTTGACAAGCGGTGCATTTGTCAACAAAAAGCGTAATAAACCAGCCATGAATCACAGAACAATCTTGATAGCAGCTGTATTTCATTTTGTACACCAAGTAAAAAAAAGACAGTTTAAAACATCACAAGATGACACAAAACTCTCGGACAAAACTCTGCCAGCTCCAGCTATCAGTAAGCAAGTTTCCAGACGCTGCATAAATTTTCCGCATGAACTCACCTGTCAAATTTTGACCAATCAGAACATAAGAATTGGACGTAGAGCGTGATCAACGCGTGACAGTGAGAAAAGTCAAAAGCGATTGCCTTCCCTGCATGTAAATGTAAAAGCCAGTTGAATTTTCACGTCCGAGGTCAGTTCGAAATCAACATTTTAAAAGTGCTGCTCATGGACACGACTTATTTCATATACATTTTAAAAAAATTTAACTTAAGCCTGCGATCATTTGAAAAGTATCAACTTGTCGGCGGATACCTTCAAAAAAACACTCAAACTCAGCCTGAGCCCGCGATACGGTCAGGCGATACTGGTCAGCAGAAACACTATTTTGACAGCTGTCAATTAATCAAAACATGGATGTACAATGTCAGGTTGCAGGCTCCCAAACTAGCTAGAAAGTGTGAGAATAAACATTGGTATGTCTGTGGTGCGGACAGACGGAAGGTAGGGTGGTCGGTGTACGGTCACGTGATTGCCGAATTTTCTAGGATTGATAGATTTTCTAAGCTATGGGACTTCGAATTGAGCCCGTGATCAAATAAAATATCAGCGGAAAACTTCAAACACTACGTGACCTCAATGGATAGAAAAATGAGCCCGCGATACACTCAGGTGATGATGGTCAGCGTATACTCTAGTTTGACAGCTGTCAATTAACCTTCATTAGAATGGCGAATATTCGAATTAACAGACTACGAGTGTGAGTAAGACATATCCGTCCGGCATGTAGTGGAAAATGCCAGATCGTGTACCTGAGCGAACCTGAGCTCACGTTATTAGTTTTCTGATAGTGGTCTGCACATGTCCCATTTTGACAGCTGTCAATTGACCTTAATTTGGCTTGCCAATATAACTTTAAACGACTGTCAGCCAACTGACAGCCTTGCCTGGCGTAGTTTCGTTTTTATGTTGAATTGGTAAGTGTGACATATTGTATCAGCTTATATGGAGGGGCAAAACGACTGGTCTTTCATCTGAGCCCACGAGATGGCCATGCGATAATTGTCAGTGGATGTCTGATTTTGACAGCTGTCAATTTAATCGTACTCATACGGATGGTTTACATAACTAGGAGGGTAGTCAAGTTATGCAAGATCTATTGTGACATTTGACATCGGCTTACATGAAGTGTGTGTACGGGTGGGCATACGCTACGTCATAACCAAATTTTCCAGGATGGATAGTTTACCAAATTTTCTTACCCATGGTGCTCCGCTGCGCGTGCGCTTTGCGCGCGAGAGCTCCACTAAAATGTAGTTCATAATGATGAAGTTTCATGTCGCTGTAGACTTATAATTCCTCTCAAAAGCTTAATATTTTTCAAAACAATGCCTGGGGACAATTGTGCTGTTTTTAGCTGCGGTTCATCCAGGAGAAGGAAAGGAATTGCCATCTGGAAACTACCAGTGTAAAGGAACGCTGAATACAAGAAATGGCAAGAAGACTGGTTAAATGAATTAACAAAAACAAGACACCGATAAAAACTGACAGAGTGTACACTTGCAAGAGACATTTCTGTCAGGAAGATATAGAAGTATGTAGGTAACAAGCAATGTTTCGCTCTGCAAATCGAGCAAACAGGCAACAGAGAGTACAGTTCCATTGCTATCTAACACATATGTTATGCTGTAGTTAAGTCGGAAAAGATGGCCAAAAAAGGCCGAAATTCGGTGTAATACCTACCACTAACATGCCACATGTAAAGAAAAGCCACCAATAGACTTTCTACCAGAGCCTACCAAGAAATGGTAATTATAACAGTTATATTGAGCTTTGCAAGAGAGTCCTTACTTTGACATTGATAAGCGGATGGAATTTACAAGAGCTAAAATACAGAATCATCTTGACAAGAAGTAATCACCTCTTCCTGTTACCTGAGATTGAACTGATGATAGCCAAGAGCCTTGGTTATACTATTTGAATCCTCACATGGCGCCTGCCGAAGGATCATGATCTGTATACCAACAATTTAAGAGCCACTGCCAAAATCATCTCCAATCTGGTCAAGGATTTGGAGAAAATGCACATTTGTCCTGGAGTTAGGCCAACCGAAAGATGTTGTGATGTACTTCCACATGTCACCCTAAAACTTCCAGGCGATCCACTGTTTGAGGATCCAGGCCTCTCCTTTCCACATGAGGAATTTTGGACGCCTAATAATTGTGCACTTTTGCTGGAGGTGAAAGATCTACAGTGTGGTGGTTGCTCCAAACATTCCCATTGTGCAGGTGACCATGAACTTAGTAAAGACATTACCATTGCGCAGGTGACCATGAACTTAGTAAAGACATGTTGACTATACCTGGACAGTCTGACAATTTTACTCCATTTATGAGCCTCTTTTGGCAACAACAGAAAAAGCTCTTCTCAAGAAGCAAAACTGGAGTCAGGTATCACCCCATGATTGCTCGGTATTGCTTATCTCTTGCAGCCAAATCACCATCCTGCGATGAGGAGTTGAGAAATAGCAACATTCTGGTATTGCCAAGACAGAGAACGCTAAGAGACTACAATAACTTTGCCCAGCAGAAAAGGGGATTCCAAGGTCATGTAATGGAAGAGTTGCAAAGTTTGACTAACATTTAGTTTGATGTGCAAGACTATGTTGTATTATTATTTTATGAAATGAAAATCAACTCCAACCTAGTATTGGACAAGGTTACTGGCGAGTTAATTGGCGGAGTGGATCTTGGTACCTCGCAGTGAGCTTTGCAACTCTGGATGACAAGATTAATGAGGGAGAAAATCATTCCCTGGTATTTTTTATTAAAGGTGTATAGACAGAGCTAAAATTTAGCCTCGCACACTTTGCTACTGAGTCTCTGACGATCAGCTGATGCCATTGTTTTGGGAAGCGGTGGCCGTGCTGGAGATGTCTTGCAACCTTTGGGTAATCGCGGCCACATCTGATGGAGCTTCTCCCAACAGAAAAATGTATCGGATGCACAAGGATCTCGATGACAGTTCATGAAAAGATGTCTGTCATCGCACACTCAATTTCTATGCTCCACACAGATTCATCTATTTCTTCTCAGACACTCCCTACCTGGTAAAAACTACCAGAAACTGCCTGTATCATTCAGGATCTGGCTTATTTACCAGGTAAAACCCATGACTTGTGTATTTATAAAAACTACAGAAATAATTATTGTATCGTGCTAGGTGAGCGTGGTCTGAATCACTTCCTGCGTCATAGCTCTTAGACCACGCTAGCATAAGCAATCAACACTCTAGAACAGCACTATCGAATGATCTACATGTAGTTCTTTACACAGAGGTAAAGATAATAAATGGCCTATATGAAGGTAAAACCTGTTAATCCCTGATATCAACATTTGAATTTTCTTTTATTGCTGCTATACATTTCATATACGAGTAGTTGGGTGAAGTTTAAGGGGTGCCTAGTATGAAGCCCAAGTGACTTGTAATAAACTGCTACATTCTCCTTCCAAGTAGGTGAGGACAAAACAAAACATGGACCAGAGGTCCATGGACCCCCACTTTGGACAGGGTCTATGGACCACTTTTAGATTGCAAGGTACCAACTGCAAGGTTTTCAGACAGGCTGATGATGAAAGTGTAGAATCGTCCATGGCCAGGTGCAAAATAAAAGCCCAGAAATGTTGATTCAGTGAAGCCCAACTGGAGGAGCGTTTAATTCAGCAAATAATTATTGGTACTCGCGAGTGAAAGATATAAGAAGACCTCTTAGGAAAGGATGATAAGTTCAAGCTAGACAAAGCAATGGACATTGCCAGGATAGGGGAAACTACTGCCAATGACATGAAATCCGTTGAGCAACAGGGTGCATCAGCATTCGCCGTTCTCATGACACTAACATAGCTGCTATCAGACAGAATTCTAACCCCAGATGTGGAAAATGTGGTCTCAGCCATGAGAAAAAGTGCCCTGCTGAAAGTACAAGGTGCAGAAAGTGTAATCAGAGGAACCACTGGGAACAAGTGTGCAGAAATAAACAAGCACAGGATAGAAAAGCCAAGCCTTCACTATGAAAGCAGGCTGGGGGTTGGATACCACAGGCCAAGACAAGTCAGAACAAGGTACACACAGTTGAAGAGACAAATTCAAACTCTGATGAGTTGTTTTATGAGACAATTCAGATTGACAGTTCCCATGTTACTCCAGTAAAAGATGACGCTTTTGCAAAGCTCTAAGTACAATTGCATAATATTAATCGTTCTAACCCTGTGCTCAAAGAGAAAGTAGACACTGACACTCAAGGAAATATTCTGCCTTTGCGAATTTATTGGAAACATGTTTCCTCACATTGTGGATGAAAATGGCCATCCCACAGAGACTGCACCAAGTCAGACCAAACTGACTGTATACAATGGCACCCAAATACCCCAGCATAGAGTATGTTCTATCAAGTGATCTTATGGTGACAAAGCAACTGATGCAGTGTTTTATGTTGCTGATGTCGCTGGCCCTGCCATTTATGCCAACTGAACTTGGTAAAGGTTACACTGTGCAGTAGGCACATGTTCTGGCAAAGTGCCTCTCCAGCAGTTAAGGATAGAGGTGAACTCCAGCTTTGCACCCTGAACATTTTGACGGTATTGGCAAATTTGAATGGGAATACCACATAGTCGCTGACTGTGGTTCATACACCCCGGAAGTGCAAAATGCACATTGAGGATGATATTAAAAAGGGACTTGATGAAATGGCCAATCTTGGAGTTATTAAACCTGTGACTGAGCCTACTGACCGGGTTTTAAGTGTGGATTAGTCACAACAATCAAATGGACGATGGCATGTATGCCTTGACTATAAGGATCTTAACAAACTGTCAAGAGAAGCCATCATCATACGCCTACCCTAGAGCCACAAGTTCAAAGGAAGCACAGCATTTTCAAAACTGGATGCCCGTCATGGTTATTGGTCTGTAGTCCTCGATGAAGAATCTTCTTACCTTTTCACCTTTCATAGCCCGCTTGGCGGATTTAGATTTACTCGTCTTCCCTTTGGACTCTGTTAGTCATGACATTTTCCAACAGAAGATGGATTTTATCCTTGAGAAATGCCCAGGAACAGTTGGTATTGCTGACGACATTACAGTTCATGGTCTGAGGAAGAACATGGTGCCAATTTGCACAAGCTCGTGCTAGTGGTGCGAGAGAAATTAAAGAAGAAATGATAACATTCTTTGGAATGTTATTGGATGCTGAAGGAGTACACCCTAACCAAGAAAAGGTGGAAGCTATCCGAGCCATCCAGGTCCCACAGGATGCCCAAGAACTCCAGTCCTTCCTTTGTATGGCAACATACATGGCTCCTTTCATTCCAAATGTCTGCTTTGTCTGAGCCTCTGAGGAAGTTGCTTAAAGTTACTCAGAAAAGAAAAACACATTGAGGTAATAATATTCTAAGACAAAGATTTGAACAAGTGCGATTGCGAGCAAAGATTCTGTTGAAGAGCATCAAGCTTTTGTGTCAGTTTCGTGCAACAACAAACTGACAATCACTGAAAGTCTTATATCTCAGGTAAAATTTATTCAACTTCAGAACGTTTGTGTGAAGTTCAAATTAAAGTTCCTAAGCCAGTTCTTACATATGTTTTTGCACAATGTTTAAATAACTTATAGCTCGAGTTTCAGGTAAAACCAAGGTGTAGCACATACCTAAAATTTAAAACGCAACTTACAGCCCAAACTTAAACTTCGGTCAGTTGAAAAAGTATCCTAAGTAAAATAAAACTGCTTATCTCCCAGATTATCGCAAAGTTAAGGTGTTTCGATATAGTTTTACAGAGGTGATACTGATATTTTTCAGTCGCTTTAAAAGTCAGTTTATCCTTGTCTAATTGATATAAAATTTTAACCAATGATTGACTATAAATTGAAATTTGTCAAAATGTAGGTTTTAGTAAAATTGATATTACTTGACAACAATAAACAAAAACATTTGAAATTGATAAACGAATGATTTTGTGCAATCTAGACCAGCTACTGAAAATCCAACACTTGGAACTTAAAGTTTGGTGTTTAGCAAATAACCTCCATAAGAAGTAAAAAGTTCTGTGTGTTTGAATTCCACTAAAATGAAAATATTTCAAACCTTAATTTTTCAACAGCCGTGATAGATTATTCAATAAAACCATTATAAATGACTCAAATTATTCTTATGTAGCGTCAAAATGCTGCTTAATATCATATTTCGATGCTAGGAAGTTTTGGTGTCTTTTCGTTCTTGCGATCTCAAAAACTAAACCGTTTTCTCACCACCTGTCTAAGTGCAACTTCATTCAAACTTTGGACTTTTAGCACTTTTTTGTACATCTCTGAAACAACTAGAACCAATTTTTTAAAAACCTCTTCACATAATCTTTATAATATATATAATAATGTCTGAAACTTTCATTAAGATTGATTCACTGCAACACCTTGAAATAAATGTTTTACATTCAAAAGATACGATAAATTCGAACTAAAATGTACTAGTCATGGAGGTATGTATAGAGTGCATTATTTTGGAAAAATTAGCATAACGTCAAAACAGTGAGTGTTGCAACGCAGATTTTTGACAGGTTCGTAGGATAGGTTTGTCTTGAAATTTTAAAATGTTGTAGTGAATCAATCTCAATGAAAGTTTCAGACATTATATACATTATGAAGATTATGTGAAGAGATTTAAAAAAAATTCGTTCATGTCATTTCAGAGAGATACAAAAATTGACTTGTCGATTTTCTCCAAATCGAAGCAATTTTTTCAAAAACAAACTACACCACCTTTAGTCACTGGCTAATACCTTACAATGGACAAGATACGAATTTTTACAGACATTTGGTCTTAATAACCTTGTAACAAACAATGCCCCAAAGGGAGTGGGTAGAAAGGTCCCCAACAAAAGAAATCAACAGACAGAGCTTCATGTACATGTAAAACCCACCTTCAAGAAGATAAAGATCGATCTGACCACCTTTCTGTTGGGTGGATCCAACAAAGATTGTCATTTGCAGAAGTGATAGGTCAGATGATCCCCTAATCACCTCTCCCTTCGTTACTAAAAAGATAGCAGGAGGCACTGCTTGCAAGTGATAATACATGAAACAGTACTGCTGCTATCTTAAGATTCCTGGTACCCTGCCATTAATTTTGGTCCCTGAGATGTTAAGTGACAAGCCATTTATGGGGAAAATAATTGCCTAGTTGCTGCTAGAACGAGGGGTTTTTCATGACTTGCATAAGTGATGACTCCTAAATATAAGTTGTCCAAAGAAAGTGAAAAGGTGTGTTCGGGACAAATCTAATTTAAACATCGGATATGAAAATTATCCGAAAACTGTTACGTTTTTTTTTTTGATAGGGACCTGAGCGCTGGTCACATGACCTCTTTTTCCATGTAACTAGCGTGTTGATCGGTGAGAATTGTTGCATTGTTTTATGGCAGAGAGAGCACAGAACTTCTGAGTATTTGGTTCGTTATTCAGTTATCTTTGGCTCTCTACCTACTAGTTTTGTATTTTTACTTTAGTTTTCACCGTTCCAGTTGAAAAAATCTGTGCTCATCCCTAACATAAGTGAAAAAAGTTCTATTGGAATTGCATTTTTTCAAGTGTGATCGATTGATGATTCGCAGAGATTGGACTTTGGCTTCGACAGTGGTAGTGGTATGAGTTTGGATTACGCTGGATCTCGAATGGATCGTGGATTGCCCGATTTTTTGATTCAGTTACCTGTGGTT